GAAGAACAGGGCAAAAGGGGCTAACAAAGTATATAGAGAAACCGATGGAATACAGTCTGTAATTGTAAAATTGGTAAGTGGAGCAGATAAAATGGATGGAGTGTAGATACAAGGGGGTGAACCTAATAAAGTGGCTGGTCAGTGTACATGCAATACACAGCAGATCAGGAGAAGATCCAGGTGAAATTTGAGGTTTATTAGTAAGTTGAGGACTAAGCAAAGTTTTGTAAATCACCTTGCTATACCCTTTAAAACAGGGCTGGACTGGGAAATAAATTCAGCCCAGAAATAAACCAGCCCACATGAATAAATGAACTGTATGAACTGAATAACTCACCTCTTCTGCACTTGGGTCCTGCAGTTCCTGTTTTGGAAATCCATGCAAATCATGTGCTATAGTTTCTTCATTTCCTTGTGTCTTATTTAAGTAATCTTATGTTCTTTTGTTTGTTTGTTTGCTAACTTTTCTGGTTGTTATCATTATGATTTGTTCTTGAGGTGACGGCATTTGCCTGACCAGCCGATAGCCATACACTGAGAATGCAGTAGGTCACTAAAGTGTCTACATATGGACACTCCAGTTTTCACTTGGCACACGCCGTTTGCCCCAGGCAGTCTACATTCATTTTTTTGAGAACTAAATTAGAAATGACCATGATTTTCTCTCTTTCTCACTCTCTCAGCTCCCTATAGTGCCAGAAGCTCCCTCTTGCAGATAATCTTGTTAAATGTGAGTGAGTGAGTGAGGGAGTGAGTGAGTGAGTATATGAGTGAGTTACAAGCCAGGTCCATGAGGTGCTTCACATCTGATAAACTGTGATGCAACCCTAACAACCTTAATTTTGATTAATCGAGGCATTCACATCTTCACAAAACAGGTAAATAAAAAATGTAAACACATAATTAAAAGTAGATAAAAGTAATGCAGGCCAATATTTAACCATGTCACATAACAAGCTTACAAATATGTTTACAGTATAACTTATTGCAAAGCATATCATAAAAGCAATATATAGCAATATAATCACAATATGCTGTTCTATCCTGCTATGTAACAGATACAGTCATATGCAAGTGTTTAAACACCTCTGGTCAAATTCCATGTTTTGTAGATTTTCTATGTGAGGATACACTTTATCTTCTATATAGAAAATACATTTTCTACACAGAACAAGCTTTGGCATTGTTCTGCAAATTTTCTGCAAAAATAGTACCCAATTTCTATCTATTTACAGAACTTAAAAAAATAAACAAATAAACAATAATTGTGCCTTAAAATGTGCAGAACTATTCTCTGAAGAGGGTGTGCTGTCTTATTTTCATTTAGAAAATCAACAAAGCATGGAATTTGACCAGGGATGCCCAAACTTGTGCATACAACTGTATGTCAATACATCTATGTCACCTCATACAAAGCAGGAAGTTCTCAGTAGTACCCTTTCCATAAAACTCTATTAGAACACCACAAACAGGCTTGAAAGACCATTACAAGCAATTTTACCTGCTAGCACAAAATAAAGCTGACTGGCAAGGAAACCCAAGCTTTAAAAGGAGAAGAGAGACTTTGTAGAATGATCAAGCATCCGCCCCCCCCCCTCTCTCTCACTCTCTCTCACTCTCCCTCTCTCTCCCTGTAGTGATCCGGCCTAAGAGCTGCAGCCAGTGCAGGTTATGACAGTGTGAATCTACAAGAACACAGAGAATCCGTGTTGCCTGTCAGGCCTCTCATTAGAGTGGAGAGGAGAAAACATCGACTCTGGCAGACACTGAAGATCTCAGGCACAGGCTAAAGCACTGTGATGTAGTTTCCCCTCTTTCTCTCTCTGTCTCTCTCTCACTTTTCTAGATCCTGTCTCGCACTACAGTTCTCAAACTTCCTAGTTAAGGGAAAATAACTGCATTGCAAGAATAGCCTCAAGTCAAGCAGTCTGCAAAGCCTTTGCATATTTGGAGCTAGTCAAGCGTCTAACTTCCTCCTGTAAGAGGGAAGACTGCAGAGAAAGTGTGAGAAGCAAAACAAGAAGGAGGAAAAAGGGGCTTCTCTGGGGATTTGGCAGAAGCCTTTTTAATGAGCGTCCCTTAATTAGGCCAGAGTTGTAGCCTGAACTGTTTAATGATACAAAGACACAATGTCAGTGTCTAAAGAGGAGATATACAGAGAAAACAGGAGCAAAGAAATAGCCAACTTGGCTATCAAAACAGCCTGGTTTTGTTGGTAAATCAGTGAAATTAACACCACTGAATACAAGAACCAATTTTTATTTATACTGTTTGTTAATCATTGTGACATCTGCCTTACCAGCAATGCTGATATTGCAGAAGGCTGCAACATGCAAATAAGTTTCTAACCAATCACAGCACTTCTTACTGTGTGCTGTGAATATCTTGTGCAGTCACAGCTCCAGAAAAGTATTTCTGTGGGTGTTTTGATCAATCAAAGTACTTATGTACTCCAACATTTTGTTAAAAATAATGAATTGTAAACATGTCACATTTTTGAATCATTAATGTGTAACTATAAATTATTTAATTTCCAGTCAAAACGACCATTAAGTACGCATTCATTTTTTAGCATCAGGAAAAAAGCAGAACAAATCTACACATATATTTGACAGGAATTTTACACAGAAGCCTTACAAATCAATATAAAATCAGATACAACATTTTTCAGTATTTAGTGTGTCTATCCTTTGCCTTTATTACAGCTTCTTTTCTTTTTTGGAGGCTTGCTTACAGATTTCAAAAATGTGTAGGGATCTTTTTATACAGCTCCAAAGTTCAGTTTCGGACATCTAGTTTTGGTGTTCTATCCAAATGTTTTCTGTCTTCTCACAGTGGGTTTTTTTCCAGACCTGAATCAAGAGCGGAGCTTGATTTCTCCTATATCTCAAAGGTGAAAGCTTTAAGTACTGTCTGTCTAATGGTGACGGTTTTTAGTCCCAATTTCTCTAGATCTATTAAAATTTTTTGAACTCCAGTTTTGGAAACTCACTTATTTTCATGACTTTCCCCTTCCTTATGCAAGTGGATTATTTTATATCTAATCTTCTAAGAAATATCTCCTTTAGCCATTTTAGATGCACAAGAGAAAGAAATCTGCAGTTAAGACAGCTTCGGGAACCTTTCATTGGGAGGACAGCTATAAGACTGAAAGGATGAAAGCGTTGAAGAGGCAGCAGGTCCACAAAGGTAAAGAGTGTACAAATTAAATACTGACAGATTTGACATTACACTTAGTGTTAGAGACATTTGTGTAACTTTCTACTAAACACAATTCCTGCTTTTTCTGACACAGCAGAATAAATAATGTGTACTTAATGGCTGTGTTTACTAGAAATTAAATAAGCAAAATGATGGTCTGTGACTTTTGCACAGTATGCAGCAATATAATCACAATACTACCATTATACCCCCATTGTGTAGCTTCAACTGTGTTTTGTAATGAAATGTGAAAAAAATTATGAATGCATACACTCAGTATATCAGTCATACATTTAACACATGATTCACTGTGTATGCACACATACAAAAATGGCAGGAATGAGTCAGTTCCTCTCTCTTGGCTGAATTAGCAGTGCTATGATACCTCTACAGTGAGCAGTAATCTCCTGCATTACAAATGAGCAGCATAAGCTAATTAACATTTCTGCACCCAGGGAGGTTTTTGAATATAGCATCAGCCTAATGCAGAAGAATTACCAAATGCAGGATGCTCTTATTCATTTACCTACTCTCACACCTCTGTAGGGCTGTACAATGAACTACACTCCTAATCACTACCACAATATTAACCTTCACAATACTGGCCTTGCAAAATATGTAATACAAGCCTCTAACCAATCACTGAATGTTTAATTGGGTGCTGTGAGTATTTTGATCAGTTCCAGACATTATTTGCATGTTTAGATGAAATAAGAGATTTACATCACCCAACAAACATAAATCATTTTGGTCAAAATAATACAGGCCAGTCTTAGCATCACATTTTTGCAAAGTTTTGCCAATTTGCTATTAGGGTACTGCAAGGCATACCGCAATTGCAATATGTAGCAATACAAACAATATTGCGCAGTCCTACTGCATGGTACGTATCAGTGTTTGTATGTTGGCGCTGGACAGGAGGACAGTGTGATGTGATGAAACAGCATCTGGCTGTCTATGCTCACAGCCTACTCTCTGCCCACTGTGCTGCATGGACAACAAATCAAGACTAGAGGAACACATACAGTCTCAAACATCTACAGCCTAAGGTGGTTTAGCAGGGAAAAACATGAAGCATGAACAATGTACTCATTTCTTTAGTTTCTCTCCATTACCCTTAAAGAGCTAACTAAATCACTGTGTTCCTCTAGCTTAGTTTTCCTCCATCTCATGCTCTCTCTTATGCACCTTTGCCAAGGCTGTGAGACACCAGTCTCAATAGCTCCTATTGGTTGTAAGTGACATCACCTAGAGCTCAATATAGAGTCAGATAGAGGGCTGTCTTTCCCTGATCACTGTTGCCCTCTTGTGTCCATTTAGAGTAGTAGTGGTTATGGAAGCCATGCAACAGATTTAAAGTTCACGTCAAGTTTGGTTGAATTTTGAATTACAAGCAAGTAAACTAAAAGTTATGGGTTCAAATCCCTGGACTGCCTAGTTATTCCTGGTTGTACCGCTAGGACATGCACTTAACCCCCTACGGCCCCAGGTGGCACTGCTCTAGACTGGGCATAGTAAGGCAGCAAAATGACAAATTTACTTTGTAATATCACATAACAAATAAGCAACTGACTCCAATGTTAGCAAACACCAAAACTGCTTAACTGCTAGTTGCTCATACTGTATATAATATAGCTTAACTGCTAACATATAATCAAAATAATATGGATGTTTATATCCCATTATCTCTACATATCTACTTATTTACATTTCTTCATCTGTCCTGGGAAACTCATCTTCACTGCAAAGAGTTAAGTACAATAAACCGAAGGCAAAAACAAGCAAGCAGTGTACAATACCTTACGGCTGGTGTAGTGAGCATGCTTTGCCAGCTTGCTGTTCAGTGCCTGGAGAAACATCTCGTCAGTCACCTTCCCCACATTCATACAGGCCTCATCCAGCACAGAGAAGATTCCTTTATGCTGCAGCTCCACCAGGTCCACGATAATCTGATTATTAAAGTAATCAATCTGCCCAGAGCACACACACAGACAAAAATACAAAGGGTTTATATGAGCATCAAAAAATGTACAATATCATAAAGTTGGCTACTCTTATAAAATCAGGAGCTATAAGGAAGATCCAGAAATGGTCTTACATGTTTCCATGGGATGCCCTCTCGTTGGTACTCCTCCTGCTCCTGCTTCAGCACCAGCTGAATGAAGAGCTGCTGCAACTTTTCATTGCAGTAGTTTATACAGAACTGCTCAAAACTGGAAAAGTAGAGGGGATGTTAGAAAGGGGATGTAGGGATAGATGAATGGATGGATGGAGATGGTAAGACATGACATTTCACCTGTTGTTCTGAAAAATCTCAAAGCCATATATGTCCAACACTCCAATCACTGTGTTCTTCCCATGGATTCTGGCATCATAGTTCTTCACCTCAATAATGTCATTGATTCTTCCCACAATCCAACAGAAGAGGCGCTCATAAATAGCCTAGGCAGAACACAGCACAGTCAAAAGAAATTAGAAGGTCTTGGTAGACAATCCAGATGAGAGTTAACAAAACGCTTCTACTCATTGTGCATTTGCTTTTTAAGTTCAGCTGTTATAGATTACATGTAAATATATACATTACATTACAAAGATTTGTTATGATTTGTTGTATTTCCATCACCAACACAATTGATTTAATGTAAATGGACAATATCATGACAAATTGTCCTCGTTTTTTTTTAATAAAATAAAATTTGAAGTAGGATGCACATGTTTCTGAAGTTTCAAATTGTACCATTCACTCCATTTAGTCCATTCAGTCCAGATATATTTTGAATTTATTGTTGTTGTGATGTCACAAAAACCGGTGCATTTTCATATATTTGCCTGTTCAGCCTACAGCAATTTAGCCCTACCAATTCATGCTAAAGGTATATAGAGCGCTTCTTCCTGGACTGTTTCTAAATGAGGAAATATTTACAGCAGACAAAAAGAACAGACATGGTGATAACTAATACTGGGCTGCCATAAAGAGAAGTTTGAAAATGGTTAAAGAAATAATTTGCTTTTCTTAGCAAATAAATGCACACTTTGCAGGAAAACAGCTCTTTAAATGAACGTTTTAAAATTTTTAAATGTTTTTGCACAGTATTTTACACATATGTATTCTGCTATTTCATGCAGCATTTAATATTTAAGGAGTTAATATATTACACCTAATATTTACATTCTTTCCACATTAGGCTTCAGTTTGTAAACCTGCATCTTGTGAGTAATATTTATGTTGTAAACATTACAGGAATCAGAGAGAACATCCGACAGAAGGAACTTCAGAATTCTAAAATCCTCACCTCCGCATAAACATATTTGTGGTCCAGTTAATTCTATTAATAGCTTTTATATGGCCTGTGCGCTGCCAGGCAAACCCCTGGACTTTGGCTTGGACTGCTACAGTACAGATGATCGTTAAAGTGAGGTCTGCTTTACCTTGGCTAGAGCGTCCCGGCCATAACTGGCCTCTTGGTCCGTGTGTTGCTTGTCAATGACATCACGTCCCGTTGCCACAGTGCGGTAGAGTAGGGCCTTCTCCACATTCTCCTCTTTAGTAGACAACAGCTCCCCCAGCACTGCTACCAACTTAGAATTCTCAATCAGAGTCACATCCCCATCGTTGCCAAACTTTAGGTTTCCCTGGAGAAGGACACAGTGTTCCTGATAAATCCTTCACAGACACATTGGCAGGGGTAAAGCAGGACTCTGTCAGGATTATAGAACTCATTACAGCTAAGAAAATTTACTACTATGTAAAAAATACTAAGTGTTGCAAGGACACAACACAAAGTAGATGAGTAAGCACACGCAAAGTTTTTATAATGAAGGTTACCAGGTGCAGAATGGTAGCCAAGATCTTGTAGACCGTCTGGATTTCCTCTGTGGTGAATCCTATCACCTTCATGGCATCTGCTACAGCTTTGAAATCCGCATTGTCATTGATTGAGGACTACAGAGATGACAGAAAAAACATGGTAAAGCTGGTTATAGTCACTAGCACTGATTGCTCTGGTTAAAAAGTCAGATCACGAACACTGAACAAAATGTTATCATTGAATAGGGCTGCACAATTTATTGTTTGTTAACAGCTATCGTGACCCTGCCCTTTGACGAAGGAATGGTTCAGAAAAAAAAAATTCACATTTTTTAACAAATTTTCAAATTATGGTTCTTTAGTTTGGTGCTCAAGCTATGAGGCTAACATCGCTGACAAACCTAGAAGTCAATAGTCACCCAAATCCTTTTTGTACATTAAACAAAACCTGTTCAAACCGCACCTAGGTCTTCATTAAAGGAGCAATATGCAAGATGACTCAACCTGCCAAATTCATACTCCACACAGTTCCTCCTCCTCCCTCTTCACTCCTCCCCCTGTTTAATTACCAGTCTAGAAGAAACATTGTGAGTTCAGTATGAACTCACAATGTTTACTCACCAAGAGCTGTTAGCGGTGCTAATCTTAACACTTATGTCATTTCTTTCCTTTTCTGACGAACGTGGTTTCATGCATGTGGGCGTGCTACTTCTCTATTCTCTCATGTCGGACTGATGGCAGACTTGATGCTACACCTCTTAAGGTACAAAGTTGTGTTACAAGACAGGATGGGCCGGGGCTAGTTGGTTAGCATGCTAACTTCAGTAGCCACCTCTGCAACACGATACACAGAGATTTTGAGAATGAATTTACATAAAAGATTTGGGTGACTATTGACTTCTAGCTTTTGTTAGCAATGTTAGCTTTGCAGCTCCAGTGCTAAACTAAAAAAGCTAAATTTGGGCACCAAATATGTCTTGGCTAATTAACTACATCTGGGGTGAGTGGAAAGAGGATTTTTTGAAGAATGAATGCAATCATGTAATCTAAAAAATATATCAGGTGGATCTTTAACTATGTCACAACATTAAATTTACCAATGCATTTTTAATATACTGTAAAGCACAATACGTGGCAATATAACTGCAGCACTGGCATTTTGTCTATATTATGCAGCCCTATGGTAGTAGAAACAGAATAAATAATTGTTAGAAAATGATAGATAAAATAAGAATTGTAAAATATAGTCAGTTTTGATATCAATTTTAAAAGCAACATGAATTAAGGTAACTTTTTTTAATTGCAGTTTGCATAACAATAACATATGGAAAACTAGCACTTATTCCATAGAGTGAAAATATTATTTAACCTGTATTCTATTTCTCTATGGTATTCTCATGTTACATCAACATGTCCCACAGGCCACGCTTCAAAACACCTAGTCACATCACTAACATTAACACCAAATTAATTTAGCCTCATGAGTAATAGAACATTGGCCTTTTCCCCCAAACGTTACAATACAAATTATTCACCTTCGGTTACTTCCACTCATGCTTTTTCTGGTAAAGGAAACTGATTCATTATTACTTCTTCAGTGCATTTACAGCACCACAATTAAAACCAGAGACGCACTGATGCGGTAACTAATTCCTCATCTCACCAACACTCTGAGAACAACAACTCAGGGGTTTCTAGTTATTCCAGTCCTCTAGTGGCTCATATAGCCTGCAGACTAGGGCTTATTTCATACAGTAGGTAACCATGGAAACCACAGCCCTCTGGATGCAAAGCGAAGCTTGACCAGAAAGTGCTCCTATAAAAAAAAAGTGGAACATGGCACACAATGTACAAACCGCCCCAGCCTGTTCTAGAGCAGCTTAACCTCACAACCCAGCCTGTTCCATGACATCATCTTTGTTTGTTGTCATAAATTTGTTTTTGTTCTCTCTCATTAAACTCTTATGCAGACACAGCTGAGCAGCCCCCTTTAATTCTGCTCAATGACTCAGGATAGAGCCATGACAAGCTTACATAACATGTAACCGATATTGCAGACAGACTTGACCAGTGTAACAGTTTTGTTTTTGTGGTGATAAACATTTTAAGCTCCTTGTGTAATATTCTGGGCCGAGGTCTGAAAAACAATAAGCTACAACTACAACAAAGACTCTAGACAATGGATAACTGATTGCATTCCCAACAATAAGTCATATCCTTTAACTCTAAGGATGCAACTGGACGTCACCAAAAATGGCCAAGAAAAAAAGAAAGATTTAAGAATTCTATGTAGAATTACTTATGGATCAGCTTCAGTACTTTTAAACATAGAGATTTGTCAGAGTGAGGCCATAGAGACCTTTGGTTTCTTCAATGACCTTTAGCTGGCTTTGCAAAGTGAAATTTTCATGCAACTAGTTGCATGTTACACATAATTTTGGTGACAACTGACAGTCACACAAAGAAACTCAAAATAATCAAAGTTGCATATTAGATACACATTTGATAACTAGATTACAAATTAGCAGCTCATACATTTTTGGTACACTGTATCTTTCTATCTAGATCAACTAGTCTGCATGGTGTTAATGACAGATCTGCAGCATTTTTATAGCTTTTTTTTACTGTTTATTTTTCCAGCTGTCACTGCTGTTCTTTTCTATCACCATGCCTATGGTTCCTCACTATATATTTGGCTTTTTAATCTGTTCTGTGCATATTAAGCCTTAATGTAAAATAGACATTACAGTTCTTGATGTCTAACTGATCCTGTCCTAGAAGCAGAAGTTCATTCTTCTGTAATATTTTTTAGCACTTGAATCTTCATCATTTGGAGCTCTGTAAAATCATGAGGTATCAGAAAATCAGAGAAAATAAACAATCTGACTATATATATCAGATAACAGCAGGCTAAGAAAGAATAAATGATGGCACAAGCAGCTGTTTAAACAGCTGTTAGCGTTATCTGGCTGGTTACAGAAACATTCACTTCAAGAAACTCATTTGTTGTTGTGGCTTAGGAAACTGAAATGATGAAACACTACCAACCTGCATAAAGTTAATCGATTCTTTAAATGACATTATTTGATCTAATCATGTGACGTGTTAACAACATTTTGACTTGCTGTTTCAAGACAATTTGCTTGCAACTGTTGTGACTGATTTTCAAAGTTTTTAACAGAGTTTGTGACTTGTTGGTTTCAAGCAACCAAAGTTGCATGTAAGTCTCGGTGTGAAGCCAGCCTTAGGGTACTCAGCTCTTTCACTAAGTACAGAGAAATGTGAGTAAATTATACCTTAGTAAGTGACTGTACACTGCAGACACAACAAGTAGAGATCAGGTTAAACAACACTGGAGTATTTCTTTAAGAAACCATGCATGGAAAGTTCTTCAGGGAATCAAAGGGGGCAACATTTCAATAAACCCTTTTAGCACCTTTATATTCTTAAGACTGAGTGTAATTTGAATGAAATACCTTAATTTGGCCTCCAACTTTAATGTAATTGTAAGCTGTAGGGTCCTTCTGGATGTGTAAGGATCGCAGCAGAGACTCTGGAGCTCCTTTCACAAGCTGGCCAAACAAAAAACAGAGAGCTTAGAGCACCAAGTTGAAGGGGAATCCCACTGATTTTTCAAAATATCTACACAATTTAATGGTAAGGATGCAAGCAAAGTCACTCAAAGGTTTGATAAGCCAGTCTAGAGAAGATTACTGAGTCTGAATATTTTAACTTTAATGGTGATAGAAACTAGACCTACATGTTTAATGTCTTTAAAGCTATTTCACAGAATGTTTTACATGAAATTATAGTTATAAATACACTGCCTGATGCCTTAGACATTGTGATGGTTTAAGTTAAGATTTTGGCCTAAAATCCATTCACGCTGGAGAAGTAGGACATTTTAGACAAAATATCCCCCAAAGAAAACGTTTTTTTTTTTTTTTATCAGATTTAACACCAAACATTACCTATAAAAATTAGTTTCACAAGTCAATTCAAATAGATCGGAAATAAAATATATATGTTGTAGACACCACAAGCCCTGGTCTCTATTACCTCCATTTAAAAAATACAAAACAAAAAGATTCTCTACACTGAACCTCTTAAAATTAAATTACTCAGAGGTTGGTCTCCCAAAAGCAACTTAGCACAAAGACAATTCTGAAATGGTAAAGTGGTGAACACTCTCTCTACCAGCTAAAATGATCTTTTAATGATGCTTTTAGGGAAAACGAGCCCTGATTTTCCATACCTCTCAATGAAAAATGTTATATATAACTACTACTTTTACTGGAATTTTGGTGCCTTGGTCCACTCTAGAAAGTTAAGTGCAAATGAAGCCTCATAGATGCTGTGAGATTTGATCCGAGTCCAGGATCCAAGTATTGGGTCATGAAAACATGAAAACAGCTGAATGTGTCATGTGCTGCTTTGCAAAAACTCCAAATTAATTTCATATGTGAAAATCCCCTAACATCAGCGTAAGGCAAGAGACCATAGTGAACTGCTGTGATGCTGGATTAGCATAACAGACTCATATCACATAATGAAGAGCAGACAAGCTAAGAATCCCCTTCCAGAGAATTAGTGAAGCACTGCTATTTCCAGTAGCATAACAGTGAGTAATCTTTTATTTTTAGTAGATGGCTGTGGCTCTGCAGTCATAAACACTGGTCTGCAAGCATCTGGCTGATATGAGTCATACCAGGCTTTAGACATAATGAACCTCAACAACAGACTTGATTCTACCCTGCTTCTGCTGTTATTTACCCACCTGGTAGAACGAATGAAAACTTCTCTCTCCTTCCTGCTGGAAGATCACTCTAGACTGAAGAGCAAGTAGAACATTTAAGAGAAGTTAAATACAAATAGGACAGATTAAGTTTGTTTACGGTTTAAAAATACAGATGGCAAAAACAACCACACATTTCAGAGTGTAGAGCTGGCCCAAACAATTTGAATGCTCAAATATTCGTTAATTATGCAAGCTTTCCCTTTTTAGGCCACAAAAATGTTAGCCTAAAATAGATTTAATCAACAAATGTCTTTAGATAGAACAGATATATCTTTGCTGTTGGAAACAAACCTTGTATCTTCATTTTTTTACTGCCAGCAGCCCTTTACAACATGTTCAGTTTTCATAATGAATAGACCAGTGGAAATACCCCATAATTCCTTGGGAAAAAGTCTTGTTGCATTAACTTGCAGTTAAAAGTGAGCAATATGACAATATTTTGTCATGATCATTTATCCTTATCAATGTGTTACAACACATTTTTCTGAGCATATCTTGGATATCGTCAGTATGTAAAAAAAAACTCTGTGCCATACAAAGTGAGCATAGTTAGGCCTATTAAATTGGATTTACTGCAGTGCAGTTTATAAAACACTGAATAAAAATCATTATAGCCTTGAAATATCATGATATAATATTTTTGCCACATCGCCCACCCCTACTGGCAGTGAAAGTTAGGAACATTTTTCCTTCTCCTGTAAAGTTACTACAGAACACTACAGAAAGTGTGATTGTGTGATTTGATTGGATCTCGACAGAGTTTGTGCTTCACTCAAGCGCAAGCATGGTGTGCGAGTGCTAACAGATCACCATCTTTTGTCTCTTCGCTACCCATCCGTTCCCCATGGTTATCCGCCAAAATCCAACACTGTGATGGCACCTGAGGACTGGCTGGATCGTACCCAGCAGCTGATACAGAGTCAGCCCTCATTCTGCATCCACTATCATCAGCCTCCAAGGACATGCAGTGTCAGTCCCACGACAGGACCACTGACTATGTTCTCGACTGGGATTTTCAGAGATACCGGAAGAACGGGTGTACGCAGGAACTGAGTTGCTTTCCCAGTCGACGGCATTGAGCCCAGAGGTTTCACCCAAGAAACGCCAGCCACCTCCACCTCCTAAACACTGCCCTCAGCTCGACCACCACGGCCATGCTCTCCATTTGACAGAGCACTTCAGCCACTACCACAGCGACATCCACATCTGTCATCTCTTCAGGAAGCACACAGTACTGCATGTTCTGTCAACAAAGCTGATAATGTCAAAGTTTGATATCTCCAGGGTTTCCGCTGCAGTTGTGATAATATTTAAGAAAGATGGCAAAACAAGCTGGGACCAATGGTGCCTGTAGATTACCATATTCCTACTCTGATTGGAAACAGAATGAACAAAACTCATTTAAGGCACTCTATACATCAACCTATTCTGACAGCTGTTGCACTTCAGCACAAATCTGATTTGAAGCCCAAGTTCTTCTAAATACTAGGTCACTTGCAAACAAATCCTTTATAGTTAATGATCTTATTCACATGACCTAAACTTCATGTTTTTGACTGAAACCTTGTTAGACAACAGCAACAGTGCAGCTAAATGGAATCACACTGAACTTCATCTATAAGGAGAAACTGAAGAACTACAACTTGTGTAAGTGTGTAAGCCAGGCAGTTTTATTCTCTGACATTATTAAGAAGAACATAAATAATGTCCATGCCTTGATGAAATGCACCTTTCTTTAGCAATAAAATCCTAAAGGTCAGACAGGGTCTTATCACTTCTACTTCTATAAACAGAGCTAGTCAGCATGTAGTGCCTCAAAATAACAAGCTATATAACATGTCCAAATTCACTGCTATTGACCTGAAAACCCTCAAGGAAACAGTTCATCATCTAAAATAACCCACGTGTTCTTGATGTTTTGCCCACTCGCTTTTTAAAATAAGTCCTTAGCCGCCAAGCAGAGGATCACGCCAAGTGAGCGGGTCACTCATTTCAGGCATCTTCCCTGGGCTGCTGAAAACTGCTGTAACTGCTGTCCTCTCTTAAAAAAAGAGCAATGTAGATATCTCTGTCCTTAATAATTATAGACCTATTTTTAATCTTCCCTTCATAGGACAATTTATTGAGAAAGTTGTCCTCACTCAGCTTTATACATTTTTACTTCTTGTCACAACGCAGCAAATGACACTCATGCAAATGCAGATGCTGGTAAAATACCTGTGCTAGTGCATTTTGATCTTAGCACTGCATTCGATCCTGTCGATGATACTATCCTTTTAGGCAGACTGGAAAACTGGGTGGGGCTTTCCGGAACAGTTCTTAGCTGGTTCCGATCATACTTGGAAGATAGGAGCTACTTTACTGCCATCAACAACCATGAATCTAAACAGGAAACGTTGACCCGTGGTGTCCCACAAGGATCTATTCTTGGGCCCTTACTCTTCAATCTTTTAAATGCTACTATTGGGCCAAATCCTTAAAAAAAATCTGACTGACTCAGTTCTCTCGCCTGATGACTACAGCCTTTACAGTTATTTACTGACTCTAGCCTTTGCCTAGAGTCAGTAAATAACTGCATGAAAGAAATTTTACTGTGTTTGAGTGAAGCACTTTTAATTGCCACTGTGTATGAAAGGTGTTATACAAATAAACTTGCCTTGCCTTGCCAGTAAAAACAAATAGGCTTGATTTGATGGACATAAGATGTGCGTCTAGTCTGTTGTGAATGAAACACTTAACACAATTAAAAAGGAATTGTATATGTTCAGTCAGATAAACAGCTACATAATGCTTCAAATACTGTTTTATGTTTCAGGCCAGCCCTGCTAAAGTGAATGTTTGCTCTTCTCTAGCATGTTCAATGCTACCTACCTTCTCCAGCAAGTAGTTATTGATATGGCCACCAATGGGGTCCCCCTTAAAGTCGAAGTTGATATCCATGTATTTTCCAAAGCGACTCGAGTTATCATTGCGGTTGGTCTTGGCATTTCCAAAAGCCTCCAGGACACAGTTGGATTTCAGCAGCATGTTTTTTACCCTGTGAAAACAGAAATAATCTTTATATTTCCAAAGCCTTCATTAGTTTCTTGTGGATTAGTTCACCATTCATTTGAACTCTGTATGCTTACTTTAGTATGCACTAAAAGGTCTGATTGTTGGCTACTGAAATCCATCCCAGTCTTAGCCACCATGACCGACTATGCACATGTCCATGGTCACATGGGCCCAAAATATCACCAGCCTGGTCACATACTGCTCCAAGCCCTGGTCCACAGCAGCAATGAGTACAGTGAGAGCTGTATGGGTCAAACCGCAGTTTGTTCAGCACCCAGACTGCATCTGGATTACCACCGTGATGTATACACAGACACCACCCTCATATTTCTACAGAAAATTTCCAACAAAAATCTACCCTAAGGACTGAGTGCTCACTGACTGTACAGACTCCAATGAGTGATACTAACACTCATGTTATGACCCATATTTGCTGAAAGCTCTACTGAACTATGGACTGTTTTTACACAGCACTGACCTTCAGATAACGAGGGTGATAACAATATATCAATAAACTGAGCCATAAACGGGAACTGTTTGCCGAGTCGGTATTACTGAATCCCTTATTTGTGATAATTGTCAAACACTGAAGGCTGGCATCCTGCATATTTTACTGCTAACAGAAGTGACAGAACATGTGCAAGTATGTTCACATTGTGTGCCTATTCCTGTACTGTACAGAAACATGTATTTCTCAAATTATACATTTGAGTAAAGCAAGTGCTTAGTGCAGTGGTTTGTCATTTATTCAGCTGAGCTGACTAAATACGACGTGGTATATTTTCAACTCTTCCAGTCCAGTGCTATTTTCACTCCGTCCTACATTTCACTTCCATTACTGTCATTTCCTTTGAGGCCAACTCTAATGTATTATTCACTTCTGAATGATGAGTAACTTTGCTCACTTCTACTGTTTGTACCCAGAGACTCGTTCTGCTCTCATACAGCTCTATGACAAACTGAATCGTGCTTATTAGGAGCACTAGTAGGAATTTTGAGCTCCCTGAAAACTTCATGCATGGGCCCTTGCCTTGCCTCGCCTCATTTCTCTTAGCAGCACTTGTCACAACATTTAAAGGCATCAAAGTTTTCATAACCATACTCGTTGTGTTATAGATACATAATTGCAACTTTTACTGACTCCTAATGTTGCAAGCTGTGAATATAAATATAAGCAACATTACTGCATATCAATACACTGCATTCAACTGGCTGAAAAGATGCTATAATGAGTAGCATAAGACAGGTATGTTATTCAAAGCCCACTAAAATCTCCACAGGCATACAGACACTGGAGATAATTTTGGTTTTAATTTATGCTTTACCCAAGCTGAAACACAGAGGGGAGGCTAGAGAGCATTCTTAGCTTACATAGCAGATTTTACTTTCAAGTTAAACTTTTACATTTCAGTGGTCAAAGGAATATGACATCTTAACACAAACACAAAGGGCATTTTAACACAAAAATATTGCTGGTCGCGTTAGACACTGATTTTCAAACTTTGGGACACATTTACTTCAAAACGGAATCTAACTGCTCAGCATTTGCCTTTGAGGGACAGAGATGCGGAGTCACTTCCTGTTTTCTTTCAGGTTCTTTTTACAAATACATCATTAAAAAAAAGCTAAAAAAAAGTAAGTATTATTTTCACAAGTTCAAATTTAGGGGTTAGGGTCTGGGATAACCAAGTTCAAATAGAAATACCCTATAAATTATGATTTTTTTTTATATATTTAGCTTAACAATTAATTAATTATGCTTTGGGTTTAAATAAATGTACACATTTTTAGAAACTACCTTGTAGCTTCACCTTGCTGGTTAACAGTTAGAGACTGTAGACATCTGCTGATTCACAATTTGTGTTAGTCAACCTCTAGCCCTTCATCAGTGGTCTGTTTTTTTTACCACAGAGCTGCTCTTGACTAGATTATTTTGGGTACCGGTACACTGTCAACCTAGCAGCAGCGCTGAGTAAAACACCAGTAACACTGCTCTGTCTCACACACTAATACACTACCATGTCATTGTCAATGCTGTGCTGCCATAATTAGACCTGTTTAACTGGATTTACTGTAGCACAGTAGAGGATACACAGTTTTAGACAGTATTTGTTTATGTGGCAGTACTGCAGTTGTTTTGTCGGCCAAATTATCAAATCACAGAAAAACTAAACAGCATGATGCATACTGTAAAATGCCAAAATGCTACAGTAAGAAAAAATCGTATATCCTGATTATAAGCTTAGCTGTATTTTTTAATTAATCAAGTATTTAGCTTTCAGCCTGGTAACAATGTAATCTGCACACATAACCTGGCATGCTGACAATTAATCTTTTTTAAGAAACATAAAGGGTGCAGATATTTCCTGTGTAAGTGAGAAGGGAAATAGGTGGTTGAAGCTTGTTCATTGAAATGAAGTCATCACCTTCTTCCAGAAATAAGGCTTCCGTCCTGAATTTAATCTCACCTCTAAAGGGTACATGCTCTAGCACTGTTTTTTTTAAGTTTCATGTTACAAAATCCATATTTGTTAAGGTTTTACAGTGTAACCAATCATAAACTTTATATATATATATATATATATATATATATATATATATATATATATATATATATATACACACATACACACACACACACACACACACACACACACACACACACACATACATATATATATATATATATATATAAAATCCATTGTCAGATGATGATTTTTCTCATTAACTCAACGGCATGATTTCTCACCCCTAACCAAAAGCCAAAAGTATACTGTATTTTCACACTCACCTCTCCACTTCTGCTCTTTGGCTTGGGTTGGTAATAGCAGCAATATATTGCATAATGTATTTACTGGCTTCTGTTTTTCCAGCTCCGCTCTCCCCTGCAGAGTAGAAACAACAGCAATGCACACAGTAATGTTTTGACATTTAAACACTGGGTTACAACACTGGGTTACAATCAGTGTAATAGAACAAGTATATATTAAGTGCATTGTAAACGGTTGCTCAGCACACAATAGTCAACATGTAAGCTGTTTGAATAACTCATATTATAATGTTAAAGCCAAAATGACCCATCTATACCTCCTTAAACCACTAGGTGGAACTAAATGGCCCGAATATTTTCACAGTGCAGTCACAACTTATGGTCACTCAGGATCATTATTGGTGTTTCCCTTGAGAGGCAAAATTGCATTTGTTCTTTTAAACTCCCATTCCCCTCCAGCAATTTCCCCCAAGGTATGTGCCCCACCTCAGAATAAATTCCCAGACAAAAATAAATATGTAATATAGTGCCACTGAGTCAGTACTGTGACTCAACCACAAATACTTCCACTCACACAAAGGACCCTCAGTGAATGAGCCCAGTGACGACGCTATTTGCTGGTGTACTGTGCTGGATTGTGAGTAGATTCCCTGAATGGTCCACCCTTACTCAACCACACACTACGCCACCACTGAGCAATTCCCCTCTGACCACAGATCTAATCACATTATATTCACTCAGTCATACCAGCACTGACTGCGGCTGTAAGAAAATATACCAAAAATAAGACAAAGACTGTAATTAAAGAATGGAGAGTAAGAAAATGATAGGCTTGTGAGGGGACCGCTGGGTTAAAATAGCTTAAAGGTAAATTTCTGTCATGGCAAATAGACTCTCAAACTATAGAAGGCAACCCCAAGGCTTTTCTCTTATCCTGTGTCTTAAAGTACTTTTCTATGGTACTAGTCACTTTCAGAGTTGAGTGTTCACATTGCTAAATGAGATGGGATGTGATGTATGTGGATGACGTACTAGAACCACAGGAAAGTTTTTTCAATTTATAAATCAACTACATCATTCGAACATGCAGATGTGCTTTTCTTTGTGTAAAACTTTACCAATAGAATAGAAATGCTCTTAAAAAGACTTAAAAGATCAAGAGTTAAGTGTTAAGAATGTTTTTGCTTTCTCCTGTAAAAGTTAACATTTTGGAGACACTTGGTTTTTTGGATAGCAACAATATCTAATTTCTTATTTTAGGAAGTTCCTCAATTCTAGACATTTTTGCTTATTTTATGTCATTTTAGGTGACATTTTCTTATTCTATTGGCAAATTACTTTATAATTATTATTATAATTATTTAAAAATTATATTTTGAAATTAGCACAAATATCTGCATTTTGTCTTGAACCAAATAAAATTATCTTCCCTATATAATAATATAATTCCCTAGATAAAACTACTTAAAACAAGTAAAATCATGCAGAAATAAGCATACAACAATCCTCAAAATGAGAAATATTAAGTATATTCACCAGATTTAAGATGTTTCTGCTTATCAAGATATCATTTTCTTGCAGTGGTGTCCAATGACATGAGAACCGCACAGTAATTTGACATTTCCGTTTAGTGCAAAACATTATTATCTGATTTGAGACAATATCACTGTACCAAAACTCAGGCTCTCCATAGCGAAATACTTTGTGTATATTGTAAGAACACAGTGCAAAGTGCATAAAAAGGGACACAAGCCTTAAACAAAAATATTCAGACTGCTCAGACTGAAATGCAGAGTAGCCAACCTGAGATAACAATGCAGGTGTCTTTGTTCCTTCTTTTCATGGCTTTGTATGCAGCGTCTGCTATGGCAAAGAGATGCGGCGGGCGTTCGTACAGCTCCCGGCCTTTGTACTGCTCAATGGTGTCCCGCCCGTAGATGTTCATGGCACGGTAAGGGTTCACGGACACCACCACCTCTCCAATGTAGCTGTAGATGCGACCCTTTTCAAACCTGAAGTTAAAAAGGAGAAAATAAAACAATCTGGTCAATAACTGGCTCTGATCTTATCAGTGTGTTATAGAGAGAACTTGCTTGTTCGATCATAATTCATGTGTGGGTATATATTTGCACAGTATTTGTACTGTGGTTGTTGTTTATTTAGTAATTACTGAAAGCTGTAAGTAAAGAATGAGTCATTTAATGCATTCACATTTCCCCACTCTAAAAACACAAAGGTACAAAGCAGGTTAAGCTCAGGTTTAGGCTTTTCTGTTTACAGTGGAATCAAAACCTGTAGCTGGTTCTTTTCCACAAGTCAATGACAAAGGCCATAAAACCTTTCTATAAACAATGAGCACAGTAAGAGATTTGTTCTGATTAAGGATGCTAACCCATGGCATGATATAGTTAAATACAGTACTGGGTGGCATTGATAAAATTCATAATAACATTATTTCCCAAATACATATTGTGGAGAAGGGGGCATGGCCGAGCGTTGAATGCAGGACGGAGAAGCCGGTCGGGCTGAACCAGCGGGCTAAGTAGCTGATGATATTCACCTGTGCCTTGTTTCTGCCAGCTTACTTATAGTCATCTCTTCCCTCAGTAGGTGGCAGAGCCCAGAGAGAGAAGGAGACCTGTGAAGGTGTGAGAGCAGCAACAAGGAGAGCTAAGCTGAGCTGAACTAAAGAAAAGAAAGAAAGGACTGAAAAGTCCCAGCAAGCGTCTTGTCTTAATTTGTCTGTGGGCTGAAAAGCCGAGTGGTTTTTGTGTTGTGTATAAATAATTGAAAAAAAGCTTTTCGCCTCCACACCTGCCCCCGGCATCCTCCCTCCACCCATCCTTAAAGTGTTCCACATATATATTTTAAATGTGCCACACTTTTGTCTGTTCCAACGTATCAGATGCCAGAATAAATATCATGAGATACTGTGTATTGCGATATTGCATTCTTGTCTAATCTCCCACCCCTAATCAGTATCAACTGATATTTATGTTTGCATTAATGACTTTAATGAACCCATGCTTCCTGAGCACTGCTACACTACACTAAAAGAATGTCTTACAACATACACCAAAGAAAACCTGTAAACAATAAGCAGATAAAAAATAAGGATGCATAATCATATCAGAATCATTTTGGTTTCAGCAGATAAATGCTTCAAAAAAACTTCCGGCATTGGACAAATGTTAAGATTTGGCTAGTATTTCAAGCATATCGTGGCTGTCCAAAGAAAAACAGTATCTTTAAAATGGTAACCTGCAAAAACATTCTTTACTTTCTATGGAAGTTAATGTAAAGAGATCTTGTTACAAGCAATTTTAGAGCATTTCTGTTCAATTGAATCTTTCATCATGAAATGTTCACATAAAGTAAAGGGCTGCTGCTGAGCTCAAATGAAGTAAAAAAAATAAAAACTGTTTTTCTTTTTTTTTTGGACAGTGTTATTGGTTTACTGCCTTAACATTTCTGCTTTTTATTAATTTCACTATATTTATAACCTTAAATGTTATAAATATAACCTTAAATGTAACCTTAAACACTAAATGTAATAAATGCTAATCGAGACAGACTTCATCCAAATGTCTGCATTTTTAGAAATGTTTGTGTATCTGCATTAGAATCAGCAGATAGATACATGAAAAATTTTGGATCTTGGCATTGGCCCACAATTCCCATATTGGTGCATCCATCCAAAAAAAACAAAAAGGAAACTTACTATTTACTATTTACTTTGTTTTTTATTTAGTTCTTGAAAACAGTCTGAAGTACCCAGGAATCACAATCAAGTAAGTTTGTCTTATCTTTATTTTCTGCTATCAGATCAATATTGTTGTTTGTTATATTCCAGTATATCAGTTTAGATGTCACCCAGCACTCATTCAACATTACTTCATCCATCAGATGCTGAAATACAGAGACTCCCTTTAGGCCAGAGCTGAGAGACATACAATGCTGTCCCAGAAGAAACATGCTATGTTGTATGCTTGATAGTACAAGGCTATTGCATGTAACACAATCGCACAACCTGAGACCAGCCTACAGTCCAGCTGTGGATCATGGCTAGTAGAGGGTGGAAAGCACGCTGGCCAGCAGAAGCAGGCTGTTTTGGGCTCAGGCCCCATGAGATTGAAAGCCTCACTTCCTTCCTCTTCTGAGAAGCCCTGGGTCATACTCAGAATAAAGCCTCCTTTCTTCTCCACCAGCACCTCTGCCAAGCCCACTCTGCCCCTGTCAGGAGGTGTAGGGCTTTGAGGCATCACTACACGCATTTATCCAAAACAAGGCCTAGGTGTTGTCAGAGCAAGGCCTAGTGCTACTTCTGCCTGTATATGAAGTCTTTAAGAGATGATTGCATTTTCTATTTTTGCAGATTGTAAAGAAACCGCTTTAAGCATTGCGCCACTTATGATGATTATGTGGTTTAATGACAAAAGCAGCTGTAATTCATTGTTACATGACCATTTTCCAAACTCTCTTTATCCCTTAGATTATAAAGGCTGTTTTTTTGCTTTGGCTTTAAGACTGTCTGCCTGTTCTGTGTTGAGCTTCATTCAAAAAGCAGTTCAGGCTGAAACACTTGTCACATCACAAAAACAACTTATTTAAAACATGCTGTTCTGGAAGCTTAGTTTCTGTACGTCAACTGTGTGGACTGGTGAGTCAACAGTACAAGAAAAACAATGTTTACATACTACAAACTGTTCAACTTAAATAATGATTTAGATGCTTTAAGTTGGTTAAACAATGATTTAGGATACTATCAAACCTTTAAAGAAGCACGTTTGCCTCATGAAGCGCCCCTGAGAGATTGCTGCAACAATGACCATTTAGCTCTTTAAGTGCTGAGCAGTCCCAACACTAATCCAGCACTCTGTCTAAACATTTATTTACTGAAGCGTGCTTAGCAGGGCCTTTGTTGGACTGACTGTGTGTGTGTGTGTGTGTGTGTGTGTGTTAGGGCTACATGATATGTGCAAAATGCAATACTGCAATTATTTTGCTAAATTTGAGTAACTGTGATATGCCTTACAGCAGGGGTGCCCAATCCTGGTCCTGGAGATCTACCACCCAAGCACAGTTTAGCTCCAGCGCCCTAATCGCACACACCTGATCCAGGTAACAAAGGCCTTCAGGGGCATCTTTCAGACTGCTATATGTAAACAACTTCTGTTCTGATTAGCTGCCCAGTATTTTGCCTCATTCAAAAAGCTGGCCAGATTGAAACTCTCCTTATAACTTCGGCTTAAATAGGAAGAGCTGAACTGCTGTAGGCTGAGGAGATATATGTAACCCGTATGTCTTTCATGAGATCATAAAAAAATGTACACTTTAAATTGCAGCTTAGTTTCCACATATAGACATTATGACATTTTATTTTTCATGATATAGGCCCTTTAACAAATCATATATTGTGCAGCACTCGTCTTCTCTCATGTCAGCAATACACTGGGTGACACCGTGTAGCAGGACATGCCTGACATGCTGGCAGTCGAGTAGCAGGAGTTAAAAGCTCTTTTGTGTCCTGATGCACTGTGGGAGGCTGCGGCGTGCCCGCTCCATTGTTCTCTCATCAATGTGAAGTCTGTGTATAACAAGTACAGGCCACCGGCACACAGCAGCACAGCCTACCTACCGCTAACATCAGTGCTCCAGCTCAGAATCGCCAGCAAGCAGTGCTGCAAGACAGTTGTGATCGTGGAAGCAAGAAATTGTAGTTTGTATAATTAAAGCAGCGCATATATGGTAACATGGTAATCTCACAAGCTTCCACTTGTTTTGCTTTACGGATTTAGTCAGGCATAGCCCAAAGGAGGAGATCCTCAAAATGTTTTTCCAGCTGTAAACACAAAACAAAACAAATACTGACAGAATTCTTAAGAAAGACACTAAGAGCTAGGTTTTTCTAAGAGAGGCGCTAATTGCTGACAGTCTACGACACTTTGCGCTGGTGCGGGTGGCCAATTTAGCAGCTTCTCTACTTCCGTGAACTTCCATGTAAATGAACACGTGTAATGCCTAAAGGACCACTGCATCTATTTAATAACTCATATTTAGGTTACCAGTGGCACCAATAATTACTATTTTTATTTTTGTATTTTTTATTATTATCAGGAGATTGTGGCTAGTCTTGTGGCTAGTCAGTAATTTTCACACATATGGATACTGGTTATCAATGTTGGTCAAGATAATTAGATAACCAATATATCAGTTGGGCTCTAGATACTATGCCATATGCTCACAAATAAAACTGACACTGATGCTATGCACAAAGAGTTCTCCAACAGGATGATGTGTACCAGGCTATACTGTTACAAACCATCTAATACAATATATTGGAAGACAACTGACTTGCTTGACTGAACCATTTAACCATGAGAACCAGTTTTCTAGACCCAGATTAAGCCTGAGCCTAAACTTTCCAATATTGCTTCATGACTGGCACTGCAATTTAGCTCAAGATTAAAACTATATTCACACTCAGGAAACTGCCCTTAAATTGCTTTGGGATGGGGCAACTTCAAACCCCTCACTTCATTTTTCCCCTAGAAGTGCTTGTAAACAAGATGTTCTGCATGCTCTTGATAAAATGTTATGATCATTATCTAACATGTTATGCCATTTCATTTCACGGCACAGTGTTCTACAAGTCAAAAAATCTAAAGGAACCACGCAACGGGCTCAGCCAATATGCCTACACAGGATTATAAGCTATACAGGATTACTGACATTTGACATGATTACTCTATGCATTATCTTTTACAGAATGCCTCCAATAAAAACGCAATGTACACAAGCATCAGAGAACATTTACTCAGGGCAGTAGCCCTATGATACTGGATCAACCCTAAACATGATGTAGTTACAGTGATCAGCAGTACATAACAATGAGAGAACTACTCAAGTCTTTATATAATATCTGCTCCATCAGTGCATCCTGCCAAAAAATGCTAGGATGCTGAGAGATTGGGCGTAATTTCTGTTGAATTTACCAAGTTTTTCCATCTCT